GAATTTTTTTTTGTAAAAAACAAAAGAAAGCTTTATAAAAAGGGAAAGAAGTTCAGAGCAACAAAAAGTTTAATAGTAAAGCTTTTTTTTTTTAACTTTTATTGAGTTTATTGGTACATTTTAGGGATACAGTACAGTTACATTCATTGTTGGGATAATGTACCTCTACATGACAAGTCTTGATTCTCATTTTTTCCCCTTACCTCTGCCCTCCCTTCACCCCCTCCTCCCCTCCCCATCTACAAACACTTTATTTTCATCTTTTCATTCTCTCACATTTTTTTCTTTTCCCTTTTTGTTCTTCCCCTATGCATCACACCTTCCCTACACCTTTAGCTCCTTTCTTCAAATTTCTAAATGTCAGTAATCTTATTAGAATCTTATGCATTGTTGCAGAATATTCACACCAGGGAAACTATTTGGTATTTACACATGTGTGACGTATTTATTTCACTTAGGAGTATATCTTCAATATGTATCCATTTTCCCATAGTAAAGCTTTTAAGTAGCTACCCAGTTGTCTGTGAATGAACTCTGACGCATGGTCATTCTGCCTGTGTCCCCAAGTCTCTCGCTGGGAGTGAGTTCCAGCTCTCAACGTCAGTGAGTGGCTTTACAATGAATTCTTTAATAATTCACTCCCTTTTCTAGTCTCAGTCCTTACTCCCTTATCAGCATTCTCTCTGGTGATCACTTCCTGAATAAACCACATACATTAAATCCTTGTCTTAGAGTCAGCCTCCCGAAGAGACACACTGCTTAGTATCTGTGTATTTTATGTTATCTTTTCCCACCTCTTCCTCAGAAGCATCCCTGTGTTCCAGCCTCCTCACAGCCCTCAGTGCTAGGCCCACCAATCCCAAAGCAGCTGATTCTCCATGTTCCTTGCTCTATCCACAACCAGCACTTGCCCCTCCTGTCTTCACACTCTTAAGACTCTGATTTTACTGAGATGATGAACAAAAACTTTAGAACATGATGTTTAGATGCTATCCACTATTCTTTACAAACAATACTGAAGAGAAATCAAAGGACCTTTATTCATTGTCAAAAAAACCCACAACCTTTTAGGTTCAACTTTTTCATCAGTAAAATAAAGGTAATAATATGTGACTGAGAACTGCAATGCAAGGGTATAAAAGCCTTTGAGAATTTGAAACTTCAGGATGAACAGGACACCACATTCAAACAACCATCCTATTATAAGAGTTGTCTCCAAGGTCAATGCAAGAGTTAACCAAAATATATGGTGAATGTTTAAATTTAAAATAATTTGTTACAGTAAAAGATTCATTGCCATTGACCCTCATCAAAATATTCCCCATTGCTTTGAACACAAGTATTCCCATGTGCTTGCCAGTTTCTGGAGTAGTTCTGCAAATTTGCCTTAGTGTGTCTATAAGATGCAATTAAAACATATGGTGGGTCCAGGGATTTAGCTCAGTGCCACCTGCCTTGCAAGCCCAAAGTTCCGAGTTCGATCCCCGGTAATGCTCACAATCCCAACTTGGAGTTATATTGCAAAGCCATAGTGATTTTAAAAAGCCATCATGATGCTGGCATAAAAACAGACATGTGGATCAATGGAACAGAATAGAGAGCACAGAAACAATCCCAGGCACATTCAGCTTTGAATGGATGATCTTTGAGAAGAGGGCTAAAACATATACTGGGGGAAAAATAGCCCATTGCAAATGGTGCTGGGAAAACTATTATACACAGGAAGAGGACTGAATCTTAGACCTACATATCTTACCCTATACTAAACTTAAATCAAAATGGATCAAAGAGCTAAACAGTAAAATGGAATAATCTGATGGGACATAAAATATGTAAAACTATTGAAGATATAAGCATAGTCAAAGATTTTCTGAGTAGAAACCTAATTGCACAAGAAATAACATTAAAAAATTGACCAATGGGACTATATCAAATTAGAAAGGTTCTGTACAGCAAAGGAAGCAACAAAAAGAGTAAAGAGACAACCTACAGCATGGGAAAAATATTTTGCCAGCTACTTCTAGAACAGAGGACTAATACCTAGAATATACAATGAACTAAAAAAAATTAGACATGCTCAGAATAAAAGACCCAATCAAAAAACTGACATGAATACATGTATAAATTGTCAATAAATACATGGGAAAATGTTCCACATCACTGGCTATTCAAGAAATGCAAAATAAACCAATGCTGAGAATCCATTCTACCCCAAAAAGAATAACCATCATCAAAACATCAAATAATAACAAATGCTGGTAAGGCCATGGGGGAAAGGGAACCCTTCTACAAATATTGGTGGGAGTGTAAACTAGTACAACCATGATGGAAACCAATATGGAGATTCCTAAAAAATCTTGAACTAGAAATTCTATTTGATCCACCTAGTCCCCTTCTAGGTATGCTCCTGAAAGGTTTACAGACATCATATTACAGTGTTCCATGCATACCCTTGTGTGCAGTCACACAACCCATAATAGCTACATCTCATGCATGGAAGAGGCCCATGTGTCATCAGTCAATGACCGGATGAAGAATGTGTGGTGTTTATACGCAGTGGAACACTACTCTGTCATAGAGAATAAACTTGAGTCTTCCGTAGGGAAATGGATACAGTTTGAAACCATAATGTTAACTGAAATAAATCATGCACATGAGTTTAAACATGACAGTTTCTCTTCTATGAGAAACTCAAAATATAAATAAAGATTAAAGTAAAAATAATATGAAACAGGGAGATGGGTCTTTTGCAAAAAAGAAGGGGGCTGAGTGATAGAGGGAGAAGAAAGGGAGGGGAGTGGAAGGGAATAAAAAAGGGTGTATAATGTACGTAGATCAATTCCTCACAAGGAGTGCAAACATTGTGTATGGCAAATATGGATCAATAAAAATAAAAATCCAAAAAGTATAGTGAATGCTGCTGCTAAGCACCATCCAAAGGAAAGTCAGGCTCCTAAGAAGATTACAGGGTGTCCCCGCCCACCTTATTCACCACACCTGGCATGCTGCGACTTACTGCTCTCCCCCAAAGTCAAAGTGACCTTGAAGGGCAAACATTTTGAATTGTTTCAAGATATCAAAGCTGCCACAAGGCACAACTGAAGACACTCAGGAAAGAGGACTTGCAGAACTGCTTCAGAAAGTGGCAAAGAGATGGGATAAGCGTCTTCAAAGCTACGGGACATTTTGAAGGGGATTCATGGCAAAGTATTTTTACTGCAATACTTTTCAAAAACAAAAGTACTCACCATTTTTCTATCACAATTTGTATAGCATGCCTAATGTTTCCAAGGTCAGACATTCAAAGGCAGAGAAGGTCTTGAAAATATAAAAACCCAGTGCATTTCTGGTAGGAATAAGAATGGGTTCATCTATTCTAGACAGCAATGGAGGAGAATTTAGTAAAATTAAATGCATGCATGCTTTAGGATTAAGCAGTTTTAGCCATATATATATATATATATATATATTTTTTTTTTTTCGGAGAAATTCTAACAGAGATCCACACAAAAGCACAGGTGTGCACACACAAATGGATATACACCATGGCACTTTGCAGATAAGGAGAAAACCCAGTCCATTAAGGCTGGGCTTGTGGGTCATGAAACATGCTGAGATGCTTCATGCATGTGAGGAATCTGTGCTAGGACACAATGGATACAGAGCTTTAAACACAGCACTGAGTGGAAAATAAGAAACAATTTGAGCAGCATCGTTTACGTTTGTTAGATATGTGTGTGTAGACAAAATACATAAAAGCAAAAGATAAGCATTAAACACATGAGAATCTATGCCTACAGCAAGAGAAAGGCAGACAGATATTTTTATAAACAATAATCACCACTCAGTAGGTATGCACAAGATGGGGCTTGCCCAACAGTCTGTCATGAGCCTGAAGTGGGGTCAACTCACACTCTTACATGTGAATGCATGAACAAATGAATGACTGAGTAAATGTTTTGGTCTTAGAATTAGATTACCTGGACTTGAATTACGCTTTTGCACTTACTGGCATATTTAATCATTGAGAAGAACCTGTCTTTACGATCCTAAGCCACGGGTGACAATAGGACCTACCGCACAAGGTAACTGTGAAGGTTAAATTCAATTCACACACAGCACTCACCATGGCACCATGGTGCATAATGAATGCACAGTGAATGTCAGAGATCATTACTGGCAATCAAAGGTGAGTCTTCACAGAATTCAGTAGATTGGTAGAGATGCAATTTGCTGGTTGGAGGAAGAGAGGTGAGCAGGGAGTCTTGCTGAGGGTCTTTTGCCTCTTAACATCAGTGGACAAGATAAAGGACTTTGTGTGTCCAGGTGCCACATGATGGCTGATAATGGAACAGTTAGAGCAGATACTGGAAGGAAAAGGAGCCCAGCCTGTCTTCTGAAGGAAAATCTCCCGAGCAGGAGGATCATGGTGCTGAAACCATGACCTGGGGGAACCAAGGCTCAGAGCTGGCTAGATGGGGAACGGGAGCCATACGCAAAGGCAGCAGGCTTCACAGAGGCTCCTTTGCTACCAGGGATTCACTGTGGGTTCTTCCTTAGAGGGTGTGACCCTGGGCTTCCCAGATAGCCAGAAGAAGGAAGTCACCTGAGAAGACTAAGATTGACTGCTGGGAATGACAATGGAGAGACAACGGGAACAGGGCCAATATGGTGGGCAACACGAAGGACACCACCCGGGGTGTCCCTGGTACACAGCCTTGCCCCAGCAGTCTCACGGAAGCAGCCCTGTGTCTGAACAATACCACTTTTCTCCTGTTCACAATTCCCCCAGTGGATCCCTGAGTCCTAGTGTACATTAACATCTGGGAGGAACTCTTTTAAAAAGGAATTGTACTATCCCAGCACTTGGAAGGCTGAGGCAGGGGGATCACTGTGAGTTCAAGACCAGCTTGGGCTACATAGTGAGTTCCAGGTCAGTCTCACTACATAGTGAGACCCTGTCTCAAAAAACAAAACAAAACAAAAAAAGGAACTGTACTTTTTCTAGAATGTAAAAAGCAAAGCTAGCAGAATAAAGCCTGATTCTCTTAGTAATGTATGCATTAAATAAACCAGTATTGAAAAACAGTCACAGCCATTCCTGTATTTACCAATGGTTCTTCTTTATTTGGCTGCTGAAGACAGGGGCAGGTTAGTATTGCTGTCAGTTTAATCAAAGGCATTAAAGGCTTGACCAGCGGTGCGAGAAGCTGTAGGTAAATTTTTCCTGTGCTGGGTTTAGTGGAGTACTGTGATGCTTTGTGCCTGGAGGAAACTTTTCTTAGTTCCTCTGCTTCACTACAGTTCATAAAAGATGCACTCATTCTGCAAAAAACTAAAAGTTAAATCTACCAAGTGGTTAGCACCAGCATTCCAAAAACACTTCGGCCGCCAGCTTTCACATCTTCTCCAACTTCACTGCTGCAAAATGAGAAAAAATAATAAGTTACTGGAGATGAATACATTAGTAAATAAATGAAACAGAAATTTATATATTCGTCTGTGGGTGCAGCATCTCATGTAAAAAATGGTTTATAGCAGAAAATCTTATTCTTTTTTACTTGCATTTATATTGCATAAATAATAGCAAAAAAACTCCTGGATCTATTCCTTCTCATCACATGCTGATCTCTGAGGAGCTTGCAGAGCAATTCTGGCCTCCTACCAAGGGCCACAGTGGCTTTGTGGGGTGGGTGCAGTCTTAAGGAAAAGTGTACCATGTAACAGCAACAGCCATGACTTTTAATTACATGACTATTGCCCTACCTTTCCTTTAGCAGTGACTGCATAATTCCCTGAACTGTGACATCTCAAACAAGGAAGGTAAGTGAACAGGAATTGGATTATGTCGCCACTTTTGCAAAATGGAACATTACAAAAGACAGAGACAGCAAAGAACAGCTTGCTTTTTCTTCATGTGTGGATCTATGTTGCATGTGGTAAGGGAGTGATTTCTTCATTCATCTCATCTCTGTGTGTTCCTATCGGGTAGGGTTAGACTGTCTGGAACAGATAAGATCAACTTAATGGACTAGAGACGGGTATTTGAAATTAGGAAGTCAAACTATACAAACAAAACTATAATAGAAAGCATGAGAAATAAAGTGAGAATTTATTTCTAAAACATGACGCTGATGGGACACTGTGATAGAACACACCAGGGGAGGAAATGACCAGCACTTCTTAAGGATAGGAGTCATCTCGTGGCTAACAATGGAGTGTTCTAAAATCCTAGTGCCTTCTGCACAGTCACCTTCCTGCTTTCTACTGGGAAGGGTCATGGGAGAAGATGCGGTGGGCCGGGAGACCTGTGGACTAGAGCTGGCTGCACAGGGGAACATGGTCCAGGTGCAAAACGCAAGACAGAAAGAAAACCCGGGCAGGGCATGGCCAGGAAGCTGAGCAGCATTTGAAATATGAATGTATTATGTTTCTTTCAGAATAAATTTCATTCATTTTTTAAGTTAGAAGGGGGAAGACAAAGAAAAAATACTAAAACCAGAGTGTAGCTCCCTTCCTGTAGCCCTGATTGGCTCTGGCGATAGAAATATCAGTCGTGAAATAAGTGAACTGTAGTTTTTGTCATTTGGGGTTCTCCACAGGCTTAGAAAACAGGGAAGAAGTGACTAAATCACACCTCTTCCCTTCTTTTTCTAATAAAAAGTACTATTAGTTTGATTTTCCTGAAAAAGCCTACGTATAGTAGTTCACATTAGAAAAGACTTAAAGAAATCCTCATTTGGCTAACGCTTAAGGACTACGTGTCTGACATGCTAAGCATTTTATATACACAGTTTGTCGCCACAACCCTGCAACTCCATTTTACAGATAATGAAATCAGCACACAAGGTTAAATACCACACCCAAGCTCATTCCATATTTTCTATTTGTTTCATTGTTTGTGTAGTGATTAGTTGTCTGAGTCACACCAAAGGATAGATCGAGTCTGGCTTGTGCGATGGTAAATTTGCAGTCATCAGAAAAGCTTACACAGGAGGTATATCAGTATACATGTTGCAGACAGGATTATGCTACTAAAGTATTAGACTAAATTTCCTGTGAGTTCCCTTTCAAATACTATTTTTTATAATATCTGAATGATGAAATTGCAGGAAGCAGACTATCTAGCCCATCCTTGGCCACCGACCACGCTGGCAAACTTAGCACTGGTCCTCCACTCTTCCTGAGCCAGCTGAGAGCTCACAAGTCATGTCTGGCTCTACAAATCAGCTGCTGGGTAGAAATAATGTTTCGTGCTATGAGAGATAAAGCCGTCATCTGTATGCTTTCTGAAGACTTTCTCTTTAGCAATCACAATAGAGGTAAAGAGATGAATAACTTCCCCCCAAAAAGGCAAACATTGACAAAGATGAAGACTATGCAATCAATCAATCAATAAATTCTTATATTCAGACTAGCAACCTGGCAGGTAAGTCTCACTATTTTCATGCCAACTGAACAACTCACTTATGTGGGCTTTAAGAAAACATAAATAAGAAAGAATTTAAACACTTAGGAAATCACAATTCTGAAGAGTCACATTCCAAAGATGTCTCGTTGTTTAGCATTAACTTGTAAGTGGAGTCTTGTGAAACGTTCAGCCAACAGTACAGAAAGCATTCTTTAAAAGAATGTGCTGTGTGAACTGGCATTTCATTCCTGTCTAATGAAAAATCAAACATATGTAGTCTTTACCACCAAAGAAATGCTAAATTACTTACATATATGTTATGTTCTTGCAAACATGGAAGCCAGGTATCATGTATCCAGAACAAAAAACTATTTCCAAGAAGTATGTATTATTAATGCTTTCTTTGTGAAATATTTTAAATGTAGTTTATACATGTATTAATTTTGATACAAAAACATAAGGCATTGGAATTTATTGACTTTATCATCTACAGAATGTTCAGTAACTAAAGTCTTATAATGATAGCATGCTAGAAACTGGAGTCAAGGGACTCTGGAGAATATAATACTAAGTCTGGGGCCACACTTAGAAGATCTAAGTTCCAAAGAGTTATTAACCTTGATCTTACTACTTGTTTTCAGTTGTAAAATCTAGAAATGGTCTTCGCAAGGCACCACAAAGAGGAGTTATATGTCCATCCACTGCCTAACTCAACTTTAGCATTCACTAAATACAAAGTCTAACTGTACTCTATTGAGATGAGTTTGAAGGTGGAACTAAAACTTCAAGACTCCCATCTGTCCTACAGCAAATTCAACTGAGTTCCTAGAAGAGAAAAATGAGACCTGTTTATTTTTTTTCTCGCGGTTGCTTCAGAGTCAGAGGCTTTCAAATTTTGGTTCTAGGACTGGCTAATCACATGTGAAAACAAATGGAAATTAAAAATAAATAAGAGGTTCCCTCTCCCTGTTAAATATAAATGAAGAGCTTCCCCCCTCCTCCTCCTTTTTCTTAGAGTATCTGCATTAGAAGACGTGCCATCCTGAATACTTTCTCTTCTCCTTGAAGTGTCTATAAAGCATTAGAGAACAAGATGGGACCAGGCACAGTGACATGCTGAGGGAGAAGAATCAAGAGTTTGAGCCTGGCCTGGGCAGCACAGCAACTTAGTGAGACCCTGTCTAAAAATTTAAAAAGGAGTTGAGGATGTGACCCTGTACAAATGCCCTGGGTTCAATCACCAGAAATAAGGAAGGAAAGGAGCGAAGGAGGGAGGGAGGGAGAGAATGGAGAACAGGGATAGGAAGGGGACAGAAAACTGGATGAACTTGTCAGGCCCAGGAAAGTCTTTCCACGAGGACTTCTGAACCATCTCCTGGGAGCTTAGCAATCACAAGTTTGAGTTTAGTCTGAGCAATTTAGCAAATTAGTGAAACCAAGTCTCAAAAAAAAAAAAATTAAATGGCTGGAAGTATAGGTCAGTGTGAAGGCCCTGGTTAAAATCCCCAGTACTAGGGTTGCGGGGGGCGGGGACCACATCCTTGGAATGTTAACATGCAAAGAACATAATGTCCCTATCTCCTCATCCCAAGCAAGATAAGGCTCAAAGTTCAGCTGATGCCTACCTTTTGTTTCAAAGACATGCTTAGTTTTCCTTAGTGGAAAAGTCAAATTATCAAGTGAATTTAGAATGAAGCACGTGTTATAAGTACACTACTTCCTCTTAGTTGGGGATGAACTGAACTATTATTTTATCTTGAGACCATGTATGTAATGGATTGTATCTCTTTGGTTTTATGAAGGGTGAGATTTCTTCCTGTGTTTGCAATCTCACTGGATTTCTGTGATCCACATCACATTCTGGTTTATTGCTTATTCAACAATTCAATGCTTTCTTTGTCTATTAGCTTATAAAGGGGACTTCTAAGTTTGCAGAAAGATTATGATGACAATGACAATTATATCTATATTTCTCTAAAACAGGCTAGAGGCATAGGACAGGAATAAATGACAGAAAAATAATTTGATGGGTCCATTTCTGTCAATTCGGGAGCTGAGGATATCCTTCTAGATGCCTGGAAAAAGTGACTGTTTCTTCAGGTGTTTGTGCTAGCTGGCTTTATTTCTGTAAGAAATTTACCTGGCCAGCTAGCCAATTGTTTATTAAAGTATATGAACTTTCTTTTAATCATCAGGCAATAATCCAGATTCCAAGTTCATCCTCTAAGATTACAACTTTGAACTCAGCAACATATGATTTACAAAAGCTTGATTTTGAGAAATAATATTATTCGGAAATTGCCTGAAGAGAATAAAGTGAATCTAGTCTTCTTGATAATTTCACTTTTATACTTGAATGAAGCCAGTGAGTGAGAATGATTTCCATGAACAAAAGAAAACAGAAGAATAACCTTGTTTTTTAAGAACCTTAGACACAAGCAGAGATTCTGAAATTTAAAATAAAATGAATGTGAAAAGTTTATATACCACAAATTAGCAAATAAGTCTATAGTCTGATTGCAATTCATGATTATCTTCCTATTGGAGTTATAATCACAACCACCCTCAAATATTTATCAAAATCTACAAAGAAAAAGAGTAAGAGAACAATTTGCCCAGGATAACTTTTGTGAGTAGCTAGCTGTGTTAATAACACGTAAATCTGAGAGGCCAGACTCAAATGCAACTGATCATGGTTTTTGGATTTTTGTTGAAAAGATAGGCCAGGGACTATGCACAGCAGGTGGACAGGAAGCTGAGGATATCCTTCTAGATGCCTGGAAAAAGTGACGGTTTCTTCAGGTGTTTGTGCTAGCTGGCTTTATTTCTGTAAGAAATTTACCTGGCCAGCTAGCCAATTGTTTATTAAAGTATATGAACTTTCTTTTAATCATCAGGCAATAATCCAGATTCCAAGTTCATCCTCTAAGATTACAACTTTGAACTATGCCCATGACAAATTGATAGCATATGGCAAATACAATCAGAAATCACTGTTATTAATTGAATTCAATATTCTTCTAAGTAACTGCAGTCAGAAGTCATGTGACTGGGCAAGGACTATGCTTTTCTTGAGTGCCATTAAATATTCACCTATTTGGAGATTGCTGCAATTGGTGTGAACGGGGTAAATCTATGAAAGGAACATTCTTTAGAAACTGCGAGTAGTCAGACATAATGGTTAAATCAGTCACTTTGTAGCACATCCGCTTACTCGAGGGTCCTTCAGTGCCCAGGTCCTTCTGTATGTATCATACAAAGTAAAACTAAGGCACTCTCGGAACACTCTGTGCCCCCAGACAGCTTGCACTCAGTGCTGTGACTCAGCCGGGGCCGGTTTCCCATCCTTGTGCAGAGTGCCAAGGAAAACAGAAAGTATTCGATTTGAAAAGAAAGTGAATTTCAACATATAACAGATTTCTCAAAATTAATATAACACAAGTTAAAGTACATGTTATAAGTTTATGCCACTGGGCAGGAACATATGACCCAAATATTTAATAACTGAAAGCATTCACTGAAACGATTTTTTACATGACCCTCTTGCTCTCACTTTCTTTTTATTTTCTTTTTCAAAATTAAATTGCTGACTTTACTGACTCTAGACTGCCAGTAAAAGAACTATAAATTAAGGCGAGGCACACCTGAACCATCTGGGGAGACATTGTGCCTGCCAAGGCCTCTGCTCCCATCAGATTCCCTACTGCCTTGCCTGGAGCAGGGCCGTCCCTCCCGGGGCCTCTGATGCTGATCCACAGTTGTGAGCCCTGAACTAGGTGAGAAGTCCAACTGCTCTTTCGAGTGCACGCCTTTCAATCGAACTCTAAAAATGATGCGAGTTACAAAGGCGATGAGAGAGTCAAATCAGACAAACCTGAGACCCTCTTCCAGAATTCCTCCTCTTTGTACCAGTGTGGAACTGGAATGGTTCACTCTAGTACACCGTATGGCAGGAAACCAGAACTGCTCTTTTAGAAGAGATTTTTTTCTGCTCTTGGGTGAAGTTTTATAGGGTAAATAAATACAGGGAAAATGTTTTGGGAAACATATGGGTCAACATTCCAGTTTGACCACATATCACAGAGAGTTGTATGAAGTTGTAAATTGCTCCAAAATGTGCCAGTTTTACTAAGTAAAAAAACAGCACTGGCGACACATAAAAAAGGTATTCTGCTTCAGTTTTTTTTTGTAATACTTATAGTTCCTGTCTCCCATAACTGTTAAACTTTAGCATCTTTTATGACATTTTTCATATATTCCAAACTGATTCAAAATTATTTTGGGGCAATACTATACACTAGCTCAATTTTAAGTTTTGTCTACAAAGTTGAAACAATTGATGTGAAAAACATTCAAATACTGAGTCTACCTTATTCTCTCTGGTAACAGGTGGGCTGTTGTGTCACCTAACATTCAGAAGTCCTCAATTCTGAATGTATTATCTGAACTGAAAGCTTCCATTGTTTAAGTAAGTAACTGATCTCCTCCTCTTATGTAAAAACACCGCTAGTGTGTAGACATAGCCTAGGTGAACTTAACCAGAACTGTTATGTTTGAAATAAACACCTTTGATTATTATTTTTTATATTCATATGAAATACCTAAGATGTGTTCAATCATTTTCTTATTTGGGGATATATATTTGCAATTTTTTTCACTTTTATACCATTTGCCACCATTATGCTGACAGGGTAGCATTTGACAAGAGTGAATATCTTTAATATATGAAGAGTTTATTATTCAATAAAAAATCACCATAAAGGAAGTTTACCACTCAGTAAAAATATTGCCATTTTAGTAGATATGTGTGTAATACAAAAACAAAATAGATAAAAATGAAGACAAAAATCAAAGAAAAACACAAAACTTTTAAAATACAAATTACGATGAAAAATAACTTTCTCTTTTTATTTCCCCCATTGGTGCTGGAGATTGAACCCAGGGACTTTACACTGAGCTATATCCCTAGACCTTTCTTATTTTTTATTTTGAGACAGGGCCACCCTAAGCTGCCCACGTAGGGCTGAAACTTTGATACTCCTGCCTTGGCCTCCCAGGGTGCTGGGATTACAGGAGTGTGTCACCATGCCAGGCATCACCTGTCTTTTAAATTGGCAAATACAGTATTTCACATATGACAACATTTGCACAGACATGTAGATAGACACATTCCCATGAAACTCTGCTCTGGCAGGCGCTGTGTCCTGAAGTAGCTGACACTGGCCTGTGATTTTGTGTAAACCCTTCCAAGCTATTTGACTTCACACCACAGACTGATTTTCCTCAGCCTCAGTAAAACTCCTCCACTTGTGTAAAACTGGAATAGTAAAAACGCTTAATTTGAAATGCTTCATAAGCATTAGTACACAATACTGTTTCTAACACATTGGCAGTTGTAGTAATTCTCCACGGCAGCAAACACATGCAGGGGTGGAGACTGTAACCCTTTGGAGAGGAGGAATTTCTGGTTTTTTCAGGGCTGTAAGTCCACCATATGTGCACTCAGAACCAGTAATCCTAGTTTTGGGATTTTTGTCTTAAAAGAGCAATGGTCATGGATATGAATACGTACATATTCATAATATACCTTCATATCTTACACGGTCTTGTATGACAGAAGCTTTAAAATTTACAGGACTACCGATGTTAGCTTATGAAAAGTTTGTAATCTGTCCTAAATTGTGAAAAATATTCCTTGAAAAGGAAAATTCAAGGTTTTTTTGGGGGGTTATTATTTCTACTTCTCTTTTGCTTTATGCTTATTTTGTCTGAATTTGGAGACAATGATGTTAAACATACTTCATCTGTGACCCTATCTAAAATGAATGTATGTGCTACCCACTTAAATCCTAAAGACAAATCCTTTAAGTTTTACTTTTTTTATTGAAGTTTCTATTTCATCTGAAGGATATAGAAGAAAACATTGTTCAGTTATCCTTTCTCTTTATGAATATAAATTTAGATCATACAAAGAATTGTTTTTCTTTGTATGGTATTGCATTGTAAAAATAAAAGGAGAATTTTCAAAAAAACTTATGACTGGGCATGGTGGCACATATCTGTAATCTTAGCTGTTCAGGAGGCTGAAGCAGGAGGATAGAATTGGGACCAGATTAGGCAATTTAACAAGACTCCATGTCAAAATAAAATTTTTAGAAAGGACTAGGAATGTAGCTCAGTGTAAGGTCCTGAGTTCTGTCCCCAGTGCAGAAAGAAATAAGGGTGGAGGATGGAGGGAGGGAAAAAGAGAGGAAGACATAACTCTTTATCACTAAAATATAAGACTGGCTTATTTCTACAGCTTCATATGGAAATGCAGAACCAGATCTCCAATCGTGTCTGACATTTACCTCTTTGGAATCAAGAGTTTCATGTTCAGGAATAGCCACCATTGGATGACTCAGCTTCACAGAAAAGATGCCCAGGATGTGACCGGGAGTAGAAATGAGGAGAAATAAATATTTAAATTTCATTAAAGTGGATAATGCATAAAGTATATTATCGCAGATAATAGATATACTCATAGAAGTTACCAAATGTAAATATTAAGATTTGACTGTCATTAAGAAACATGGAAGCTATTTGGCCAACAGTGAGTAGCTTGAGTATAAAATCATATTATCACCCATGTTGTATCATTCATAAACTCTCTCAGAGTTTAGCGGATGGCATACACTGTCATTAAACATTTATTTAATGAATGGCCAAACAGACTGCCAGATTTCACAGAAAGTAAACTAAGTTAAATTTATCTTTCCTTCCTCATACATTGGCTGCTAATTAAAAAATTCAAAAGGAAAATCAACAAATCCTATGCAGACCCATTATAAATGTAGCTCCATCTGTAGATGCATAATACCAGGAATGTAAGATATTGTGTATGCTTGTGAATACTGATAATCTGATTGCACAGGGACTTCAGAAACAATGCCACCTCACCAGATGATGTTATTATCGTAATGTCATTTACAATACAATGACTGATTCCTAACAGAAGGGAGATTCTTTTTTATGTGGGAATTTTTATTATTGCATGGGTCTTCTGAGCAATCCATATACAGATAAAGCCATCAACGAAGAAGAAAGTCATCAATAAGCAGGAAAGAGACAGACTGAAAAACAAAGAAAAGGGAAAAGCAATAATTTGTAATGAAATCTGCCCCTTTTTGGCATTCACCATCTCTCCTTCCTGCTACTTTAGGGACATCACAAGACCAGATTGGCCAGAATATTCCTTATTTCTTCTATTACCCTGGAAAAATTAGGGCTATGGAAATGATATGCTCCATTCACTTTCCACAGAGTCTTGTATTGGAGCAATTTCAGTGAGGCCCACAGTTTTGACTTGGACACAGGGAGTGGGGCTGGAAGGCCCTGCTTGACATTTCTCCAGAATGTCAAGAATGGACCATGCTTTTATTCAAAGTCACAGCTTCGCTAAATCTCAGCTCTCACACTCTGTGCCCAAGTGTAAAATCCTCTGTTACATCATCAGGACCCCTTCCTGCCTCCCAATACCATTGCTTTAAATGGAAGCACAGTCAACTGGAGATCTAAATGGCACTCCAGGAAGCAGTGGAAAGCACCTCCTTTCTCCTGCTCATGGCAATCTCCTGAAAACTTAAGTGTGGCTTTGGTAGGATCAGGCCCTGTTACTGCTTCAAATGACCAACCCAAGTAATTGGTCCTGGACAGAGCAGTCTTTAATATACTGAGGCGAAGTGGCACAGTATTTATCTGAGTCTTCAGAGTTCATGGAATGTCAAATTTTCATTCTTTTAATTTCTTAATCTCAAAAAATAATTATGCTGATATTTTAAAATTTTAGTAAAACCCTTAAAATATTCAAGGGACTGAAACAATAACTGAGCCATTATATAACATCCAGTTTTAGTATTATATTCCTTCTTTCTGATATCAGTATTAACTGATTTAAAGACATTTCATTTATAATCTTGAATTTAAAAAACTATGTGTTGATTATCCTAACCAACAAAAGAAAACAGAAAGTAACTGAATTTTCAATAATCATTAAGCCCAAAATTATTTATATTTGGCTTTGGAGTGCTTTTTTTCTACTTATGATCTCTTAATACAGTAGTTTTGCCCTTCTTACTACCCTTAAGTTAACTGAAAGGTGATGTTAATGTCTCACAAACATTATGGGTTTAGTCATAATGCTTCATTAGGAACTTACTTGACAAATGATTTACATGCTTTTGTCCACAAAATCAGGGAGATAAGCTCAATTATTGCCCTACTTTGAGAGAAGGAAATAAAACACTAAGAGATACAGTGATTTATAAAGTGTCCGTAGCCAGCGTTCAGGCAGCCATCACTGGAACCTGGGGCAATGGTTTCCAGAGATGTGCTAGATGGAAACAGGAGGCCGTAATACTGCTCTAGAAGCACAGGGGAGAAGGGCTGGGGAAGGAAGGCAGAGAGGCAGAGCAGGGAGCAGGAGCAAAGCCAAGGGTGTCCACCGAGAGGCCAGAGGCAGTGCAGGAGTGGCTGGGGTGCTGCAGACCCGCGCAGGACCACAGCATGGTGGGCAGGTGCCAGCGCAGTGCTCGGAGCTCGATTCCTTTCTACAGTGAGAAGTCACCAAAGTCTGACAAGGAGAAAGGAGCCCACGTGATCAGATTTTCATTTCAAAAAGGCCAGTATGACCGATGTATAAACTATTGACGGCAAAGTAGAAGATATTTATGTAATCCATGGGGAGGGTGGCAGGAGGAAGAAAGGAAGAATGCTTAAAAGAAAACACCGTCCAAGGAAATAGACCAGACTCCAGTTTTTCTCAGCGACTCTTGCCTTCCTGTTTTCTAGCACGAGCAGAGAAAGCAGAAAGCAGATACACTGATCAGGAAAGAAAAACTGGAAAATGTTGGAAAGAAATCATGTTGAACGCTGCAATCACTGCTGCGTGCTGAAGGCAGAGGTTCTGTTAAAGCATTAGGAATAGAGATGTCAAGTGGGGAGGATAATACAAGGTGGCAAGGAAATCCTGCCAGAGTTAGAATGTAGCCCATAACACTAAAGCATTAAAATCAGTTTTACAGATGTGAAAAGCTTGCTACCCAGCTAGGAATGGAAGTAAACCCAGGGGGGTGTAGTTACCCACACCTGTGTACTTGATGGATAGCACTCTGGAGAACAAATTACTGTTTCACATCAAAGGAAGAAAAACTGAAAATTTACTGGATTTTTCATCAATGCATGATTCAAACATAGATTGATGAATGAAATAAAAAGGTCAAGTAAAATGAGCTGAAACATACTTTGTCCTTCATGAAAAGTCCAGTCTTATTTATTATGTAACAAACTAATGAGAGCTTTGCCCCATTAATCACTGTTGGATAATCAACAGGTGATATTTTTTTTTAAAAAAGTTCTTAATCATAGCAGCCACCAACCTGTTGTAAAGTCTTGTGAAGGGTTTGTTACCAGTATAAAGTTTTCTCATGAATGTTACTGAAACCAAATGGAGAAAAGAACATCCAACAGCTAAGGCAAAGCAAACATTAAGGGGGTTAAGCCAGTCCTGTCTTGAGCGTATGAGAGAAGTGGAATTTGATGCTCTGGAGTTTGTGAAACACTTTAAAATCATCGAGGGAACACATTTCAGGCAGAACTTGCTTCTCCAGGACTGCTTCTCTGTTTGACCATATCTGCTTATGAATTTCCCGTGTCTTCCTCTTCTGCCTCTCCACTTAGAACTGCCAACTACTAGAGTTCCTAAGAATGTGTCTCAAAAATAGACGTGAAAAATTACAGTAGTGATACATACATAAAATGCTATCTTTTGCATTTTATATGTTATCATGATGAGACTACCAGCAATTAGAAGTCCTGATTTGTGTGTCATTCACCTTTAGGTTTCTTCACAGTGGGGACTTATACAGCAGAGAGGAGACACTATAGGAAGACTGAATGAATAAATTAACAAATGAAAGAATGCATGAAATTGTTAGAGAAAAGAAAGAGGGTTTCTGACTTTTAAAAATTAAAGACTTCTGAATCAATGGAGCATTAGAAATCATTTACTGTATCTAAAGATATCCTCATAAATTTATATGAGACTCTTCAAACTGGAATCCTTCTAGTAGAACTGTCACGTAGGTCATGTTTAAGCCTCCTAATTCTTTTGCTTGAAAAAGAATTGAACCTAGTTGTCAGTGTTTAAGCCCCCAGCTTCTGCATGCAGGACCCAATTTCTAGTTTCTCTTGGACTTTTCACAGGTCTTACAGCACAAGGTCTGCATGGCAACAAAGTCCTCACCACTAGGAAGAACCCAAAGGTTACAGGTCACCTGTTATCATGCTGAAGCTCATGTATCTGCCTTTTCTCATTTTGGAGGTCAGAGATTTTATGCCCTGATTTACAACATACCACAGTGTGAAGGAAAGGCTGATGCTGCCCTGTGAATAGCAGATTCTGACCCAGTAGAAGTGGAGAGGTGGCCAAAATTCTGTGTGTCTAACAGGTTATCTTTGTATGAAGAGATGCAATTGATAGGTTTCAAGCATTTAGCTGTTCACACCTCACACTGATTATACTCAAAATGCTGTAATCAAATTAGTTGTGTTAGAGTTGTATGATTAAACAACTTCCCAGAGATCTGTTCATTATTAACGTGCTAATGGGCCAGGCACTTGGCTGATGTCAAGGACACAGCAATGAATACTGTCCCTGCCCTTGAAGACTAAGTCTAAGGGGTGTGATAGATGTTAATTATGCAATCAGGAATATATAGGTGCAAGCACAAAATTATTGTTAGGAAATAAAAGCACCGAGTGTTACTGGGATTCATTGCTAATAAATCTGATCTACTCTAGAAAAGTGAAGGAAAAATTTCCAAGAAGTCGAAGTCCAAAAGGTTAAATTACTCTGGGAAACTGAGGCAAGAGGATCACAAATTCCAGCCCCTCCTGGACCTCTTGGCCAGAACCTGTCTGTCTCAAAAAAAAAAAAAAAAAAAAAAAAAAAAAAAAAAAAAAAAAAAACCAACCAAC